GCTCTTCCAACACCGCTCTGTCAAAACCGACGTCTTTTGGCGCCAGCGATAGCTCCTTGTCTTCCAGAACTTTCTTCCGGGCCTTCAACTCATTGACCGCCTTTTTTATGTCCACATCCGGAGCCGCTGTCTCTTTCAATGACCGCACGATATCACCTGCGGATCAGATTAAACAAACTCATAGATTAAACAAGTTGTGACATATGGTGGTCATCGACGACCATGTGATGGGTGGACATACCCTGTTGTTTGACAGATATCCTGAGCGGTTCCAGAATAGCGGCCACTTCTGCGTCTGTTTGTGCCATAACTTTGCGGACGTAAAGTATGCGATACTTCTGTGACTTGTTTTTGGCCCAATCTATGGATCTCTTGACGTGATTGAGACAATGGTTTGTGTGTAGACTTCTGGAGACGTGGACTCTATGTGTAATACTTTTATACAAAACTCTTTGCAATTGTTGTGTAAATCCCATACAAAATGCTTACAACAGATCTGTCTATCATTCACTCTTTGCTCTCGATATACAGGTTTAGGTCATTCAACACAAGCCATGCAATCATCAGACAGTATGGCATAAGTCGTAAGCCATAAGCCATATGGCAATTACGGACCGGTATTACAACACTATTGCACAGACAGTAGAGGCGCTCAATTCAACGCTCTTTACACCCAATGAGAACTTTATTGGCATTACTTTTATAATTAAATTCAATTGTTTTTCTATTGAATATTAAAATCTGAAAATCATTTATTCATTTGATAAAAGAATTACAAAAGCGTTATGTATTGAGAATTTATAACTATTTTTGCCATCAAATAGTTGTTAACAATTTATTGATAAACTTTTCTGTTCGTTAGTTATCAATAAACTTATGGGAAATAAGGAAATCACAAATTTTTAATTGTTGCCAAATTTCAAGTCTAGTGTTAAAAATTACTCAAAAAAACAAATTTGTCTTTTAATTAATAAAAGCAAATAAAACACGAAATTCAAAGAATTGAAAGAAATAATAAAATCTAGTTAACAGTAAATGCAATGCTCTGTCACTCAATAACTCAATAACTTATGTAATATGAGTTACATTTGTGAGCAAAACAGTAAACATGTGTTGA